ATCGTTAGAAGAATGGCATCTACGGTAATATTAGTCTGTTTCTCTCTTATTCCGAGGTCACCGTTGCCACCAGAACCAGTCTGTATTCAGATCAGATGGTCACTGCCGTCACCCGGACCCAATACATATTCAGACCAGATGGTGGATCAGCACCTAGAAAGGACCTCTACAGCTCTGAAAGACAGCGGAGACGAGGACAACTAGATGAGCCACAGATACAGATCCCCTGTAAAGACCTTGTCTCGGACTACCACCGGGACAAGACCACAGGAACCAGATGAGTCCTCTGCACAATGTGACTTTGCTGCAGCCTGAAATTGAACTGCTGGTTTTGTCTGGCCAGAGGAGAACTGGCCCCCCGACTGAGCTTGGTTTCTCCCAAGGTTTTTTCTCCATTCTGTCACCGATGGAGTTTTGGTTCCTTGCCGCTGTCGCCTCTGGCTTGCTTAGTTGGGGACACTTCATTTCCAGCGATATCGTTGACTTGATTGAAAATGATTGCAAATATACTATCTAAACTGAACTGAGCTGGATGATGACATCACTGAATTCAATGATGAACTGCCTTTAATGCAAAATGACAATAGTAAACACTCATTTTTCAGTTATTGACACACTATTTTCCTAATTAATGCTGTTCAGTTGCTTTGACAATCTGTATTGTTAAAAGCGCTATATAAATTCAGGTGTCTTGACTTATGAGAGCTTGCATTGTGTCTGTGTAAGGGTGTGTTCAATTGCAATGGGAATCTGCCACTAGTAGGGCCTTCTAACTGTACATGATCTGTAAGTATCTGATACTTGAAGCGTTCGGTGGCATCAGCAGGGAGGAGGTTCTCTAATGCCATGCGCAATCTTGAAAACTCTTTTGGATCTGGTGTTGTCAAGGAGGGTATTGAAGGCTTTGGTCCTCTGTACGGCCTCTCCTGGAAGCATGGTGCTGCAGCTCTGGGAACATCATCAGATTGTTGTGTAGGATAGGACTCTTTGACATCCAAGTATGAATAATAGTTGTCTCTGGACACCTTCTCATCATAGTGGACGGGTTCAGCATATGTTTAAGGCTGCGCATGAGGAGTATTAACTCTCTGAGCCGGGGTACGATACCTTGGCATAGCTTCAGGCTGATCATCGGGTGTAGATGAAATGGCGCAGTCCCTCACCTGCTCCGTTATCTGCCTGATCTGCGCAGAGGGGTGCTGACAGAAGTCTCTGCTTGATATGCAGGTGGGCACTTGCTGGCTACGACCTGTTTCTGGCTCATGGAATTGAGGAGCTGATACAGGAGACACTGATTTGCGTGGGGTGGCCACAGTTGTAGCTAACTGCTGGATCTCTCGTTTCATGAAGGCATTTTCTGCTTTAAGGCCTTGCAACACACTTAAAATCTCTGGCAGTTGTCGGATGCAACTGCGAAGCTCATCATTCTCCCTCTGCATCTCCTCCCAAGTAGACTGTCGAGCCTGAGGATGCAGCTCTTCCTTATCTTTCTGTAAGTCTCCCCTGGTATCTTGCCATTCATCCAGTAGCACCAGAACACTGGTGTGCGAACGTTGACTAATAGGTGTGGAGACACAGGACTCACGTTCTGAAGACAGTGGAGGATCTCCAGCCTTAGCTTCATCTTCACTGGAACATGCAGGTTGCTGGGATCTCCTCTCAGATCCACTCCTTTGTACTTGAAAGTCTGCTAGATATGCAGGTGGTTTTACATGTCGTCTGGGGTGGACAACTGGAGGCTCTGGCTCTGGATGGGATTTCATTCTCTGCAGTAATTCGACATCCGGCTCGAAGGACCACTTGTAAATGAAGTTTTACATTTTAGCACTGATTCGGGTGGATTCGAATCCCTGCAGACAGTCGGTCAGAACAGAATACAAAAATAATCTTACATGAATAAATTATTAAATAACATTAATAAACAATTATCATGCCATAACAATCCTTTCAAGTATAAAATAAAACACAAATTAAGGCAGTTTAACATGTCTGTGCATATAACTAGAGCAGTCATTCTATGACAGCCCACAAAATGGCGCCATTACTGCACTAGACGTGACTGAGGCACACGTTTTTTATATTGTAAACAGCAAGACATTATTCGTGAAATAACTCGATAAAACATTTACATATGTCACGGTAAATACTTAAATTACTGACATCAGCTATAATGAGCATGAAAGTAAGCTTAATGGTGACTAATCAGCTATATAATGTCGTAAATACTATATAATGTCGATGAATCTCACTTGCAGGATCAAACAATCGGCAGATTTAAATAAAGAACAACAAAATACACTTACTTTATATGCACGCACAACTATATTACATCAGTAAGTTTGAGATGTTGCCGACAATGTGAAATGAAGCGGATTGCTCATGGAAAGAGTTCGAGTTCTGCATGTCTGCTCAGCGTACCTGCTCCACTTCCTGACCGCACGTGATGCATATGATGGTGACGTTGCAAATGTTGATTGGTCACAGGAAGAAAGTTCAAGAAGCCTTTTGAACACTATGAGCTCATTGTGTTCTCGCAGATGTCATAAAGATTTAACCTGAATGTTCAGATACTAATGTGTGATTTAGTGATTTCTGTTCCGTTTATAAGCTGTCAAACATGACACAATGATGTGTTTGAGCACATAAGTTAATAAATAAGATGTAATGGGGAACACGTGGCTCCTGTGTAGCAAATGTCCTCCTGTAGGTGTTTATTAGAGGAGCTATCCTTTCAAAGTTTCTAAGTCAGATGTTCCTTATCAAAGACTATAGAATACCCAAGACATGTCACTCGTATAGTTTTGAATGGGGAAAAATGCAATGCTCAATATGGCCTCGCTATCAAACAAAGCCCCACCTTCTGAGGAAAAGAGCCAATCACTAATCCGTAAAGTCAGCGCATCACTGCAGCTGCGGTCAGAAGTCCTGGTTGCTATAGAAGCAGTCAGCATTGTGAGATGTCAGCTCAGGACTGCACATGTGCACTGGTGGGTCTAGCCTGAGAAATAAGCTTTTTTAATGCTATTTGAGCAAAAGAAACAACAGTTATGATACAGTTGTTGTCAGATTTCATTGATGATTTCAAATATGAAATGTAATCATAAGCTTGGTCACCAGTTTAGAAGAATTTGATGTTTTCCCATTTAAAGAGATAGGAGCTACACTTGCACACCTGAGAGGTGTTTCAAAGATGGCCGCTGAGTGACATGACTTGCCTTAAAGGCACTTTGGCCTTATATCACTATGAAACAATATCTCACATTCAGCTCTGTGTGTCTGTTCAGTCCTGAAGCACATGACCGTTCAAAAAGCTCAAAAAGCACCATTGAGCATCAACATGCATAAATCTCATTCTATCAGCAGCAGTTTGTGGCAATGCTTGTCATTATGTCTCCTCTCCTGCTCTGAGACCAGAGTCAATAACAAACTACAGATACTTCAATTCACATTCTGTCATTGTCAGAGGTGTAAAGAGTACCTAAAAACCATACTTGAGTAAAAGTACAGATACCTTACAGTGAAAATTACTCCACTACACGTTACAAGTCACAACTTGAGTCAAAGTCTTAGAGTATCTGATTTTAACAGTACTTAAGTATTTTACTTATACTAAATATAGGCTCAAAGAAGCACTAGTCAAAGAGACATGCCAGTGAAAAACTATAACGTTGTGGAGAAGCTGCGGAAAACTAATCAAGGGGAACCAATGAACAAACGGACTACAAACTGACTACAAACACCACGGGAGACAGGAAGTGACATAAAAGTCCAGGGCAAGGCACAGAGAGCATGAAACAAAAACAAGAAAGAGTTGATTTGTGAGGAGAGCAATCACGTTTATTTTCTAAAACCAAAATAAAACTGAACACCTTAAAATTACAAAACAAAACAAACAAACAAACAAACAAAAAACAATATCTTTCAAAAAGGTCTCTTCACTATAATGGATAAATAAAAATAATGATAAGTAAAATTAAAAAGCTGAAGCCTTCTTGCAGTGGATGTGCTGGTTTGGGCCTCATTGCCGGCTGCAGTCATGTCCTCATCTCGTATATAAAACACCTCTGATTCACAAATACTTGCTAAGGAACTCGCA